GGTTACATCTGTGAGTTGGATGTAGAAGTGTCAGAATCAATATAAATGTTTTTTATTTTAAAGAAAATTCAGATTTTACATAGTAAAAAAACTGTAAATTATAGTGTCCGTCCAAAAATTATTTTTTACAGATAGTGAAAACTACCCTTGGATGATGGGTTAGTAGACTAAAAGCTTTAGGAATCCAAAGTACAACATATAATAAGTACCCTGTATCAAGATTGATGCAAAACAAGTGACATTTGACCTTTTTAGAGAGGTTTAGCCAAAACCACCGCACCTCTGAGGTGATTTGGGTGAAAATTGTTCTTTTTTCATATCTCTGGCCCCCCTTGCTCGATTTTGATGGTTGACACCTCTTTCTGACCGTTAGAGCCAATAGAATCGAAGGGGGAGGCCCACATACACACTCATTGTAAAGAGAAAAGGTGGGGGCTGCGCGCATGTAAAATGCAGGGCAGAGTGGACCGATCTCTCCCTTTGGCATTTGGAAACTAAAAAGCAGTTTTATTGCTTATGGATTATCAGAAATAATTTCAAAGAGGGCACAGATACATTGGATGAACCTATGGATTAACTGCAGCATCGTTTTTTTATCGTTTTAATGCCATTGAAGACCAGTTTTGACCAAGGTAAGCCATGTTAGCGTTTCTAGCTACTTAGCTCCACATGTTATGATGTACGCTTTCGTTTATAGCGTCGCAAATGTTTATCACTGAGTGTTGAGGTTTTTTACACAGATTCAGTGTCTCCAGGACACCAAAAACGAGTGGTTGGCTGTGCATCTAGGATAAGTAATAAGGGAGTTATTGTGAGTTTAAGTGCCGTTTTAGGTTACATTTTTTCGCTCGTGGCTAATTCAGAGGCTGAGTGCTAGCATTAAAAAGATCAGTTAGCTGAGTTTCTTCCCGTTACATGGATATAAAACATTCATAGTTTTATTAAATATTAAGATTCCTTAGACGTTGTTTCCTGCAAATGACGCGTTTATCCGCCCGGTACCGGGGGGGCCGTGCGTAACAGGTTATTTAAACAGTTCAGGTAATCCCTCTTAACAGAGTAGGTAGTGGAATTAACAAAAAGCGCTCACAAGGAGGAAAAAACTAGCGTAACAAAAAGAGGACTTAATCAAAACTTAAGCCTAACAAAATAAACAAACATTACAAAACCTGACATGAGTGAAAAGCGATCCTTTCAGAGCTGAGGCTTGGCAAGACCATTCGGGGAAACAAACAAGACGAACTGACACAGGACAGGGGAGAGACAGGACTATTTAAACATGAGGTGATTGGGAACAGGTGGAAACAATCAGGGGTGGGACAGACACTGATGATGGCGGTAAAAACACACAGGGGGAGGAAGAAAACAGGGCCTGAAATGAAAGACAAAATACATAAACATAACTAACATATTTGATGAGACACAACAACAGATAGCTTATCACAACGCTGTAGTATCAAAACAATTTCCTTATATTTATTCTTACTACAGAAAGTAATGCACATGGATCAGCTTGATTTATGTATTTCATATCCACCATTTTCACCACAATTATTGTGTTCTACCCGAGCTTCTGTAGGATAAACTGATGACTAATAATGGCAAATGAAGAACCTTTGATACACACAACTTAAAGACTACTACATTACCCAACATGCAACTCTCGCAGTAGGAGACATATTTTCCATTAAAAAAAGAATATATGATGTTGTGAGTAGACATAATTGTCCATCCAGTCAAATAGGTTAGAGTGATTAAAGGGTCCCTATTATGCTAATTATCTGGATTTTAAACAGATAATTTCCATTAAAACATCTCAGCAGGGGGCGCCACCCTGCCATTGGGTATCAGTATCCATTTGGGTTCTCAGTGTCTGCCCTGATGTGGCGTTGATGTAGTGATAGGGGTGTGCCTCCGTCAGGACCTCCTAAGAGGAGGGTGGACATCTGCTGCCTCTGAGGTCCTGTCACATGGAATTACAGACTTAATCAAGTCCTCTCCATCTCCTTTGCCCTCCCCCCCCTCTTCTCTGTGACTGTCCCTCTCTTTTATCTCTTCCCTCTGTCTCTGAATGTTCCCTCTTCCTCTACATCCTGCTTTTCTTCGTCCCTATACATCACATAGGTTTTTTCTCCAGCTCGTTTCTCCTTGACATTCCCTTTTTAGCCTCTCGCAACACGCCTCCCCCCCTCGTCTCCCGTCCCCTGCGGCCTCTAGGTCACCAGAAGCTGATTCAGCCTCCTGTTCATGAGTCTTACTTAAACTTCAGTTATGTCAGCCGGCCTGCAGAGGAGCTGTGGCAAAGCCCCAGGGATCCAGTCACCTTAGAAGTGCAAGAGGAGGAAATGCAATATATATACTGTGGTGTAATTGGACAGAGTGTATCAGAAAACGTCAGGATGAGGATAAACAAGAAGATATGCAGTGAAAATGGTGTAAAGGTCATCATTTTAATGGCTTATTGTAGATGTTTTATTTTGCCTAGGGCAAATAATTACAAATATCACTGGCCTTTATTACGCAGTGCATGTATTATATTTGTTTCCATAAGGGGCATTCAGATACAATACAATATGTTTTTATTCTCAAGACTACATCAGATCATATCAGAATCAGAACCACAGATCCAAGCCCAAATTTTCCAAAAATGTAGGAAATAATTATGTTGTGCCAGCCCAGTGATCATGTGCTCTGTTTCCCAAAAGAAATCGAAAATCTAAATGAATATCTGCTTTAAATCATCCACAACATCCCCATACTAAAAGAAAGAACGGTTGTATATGTATCTATAGCTACATTGACTGTCTGAGTTGTGTGTTTCTGCCTCCTACAGGAAAGTCATCACTGTTTTGATGTCATTGACTTTGTTATGGGATGACCATGTGATCCTTTTGATGACCAGAGGCCTGTACTACGAAGCCGGTTCAACCTAACCTGGATATGTTTGAGTTAGCCGGTTGGCCTAATCCAAAACATACGCGCTCTCGCTAAGCGGTCCTACGACGCGGGTTATCAAGTGGATCGCTCAAGCCAGACGTGTCCTATCTAGTTAGGTGCGCGTTCACATGAAAGGGGTGGTATTTGGAGCATTCGACCAATCACAAACATGGCCAAGCGTACTGACAGCGCAGCGCGTCATACTTCCTGAATGAAAAGTGAACTATAATATTAGACATATGAAGAAGTTAAACTTTAAACATCCATGACTTAAACACTTTATCCAGGATAAAAGCCACATAGCTGCACCTGCAAGGTGAATACAGCTGGTAACAGAAAAAGCGTTTGAATGTGTACATTAACAGGTTTATGATATCACTGCCCCGTCCAAGACACGAGTGGATCTGACTTTAATTACATTTGACTCGAGTGTTTCGTCAACTTAATGTATTGCTTAAAATAATACTTCTGCATACAGTATGTGACACTGTGAGTGTTGCACGGCCAGATACGGCTCAAGAAGCTGACTCAAATAAGGAAATATATGATACATTATGATGTGATATCATGTGATATGAATGATAATGGGACACATCGACGTCTGCACTCACAGTGCCGCGGACTGTACTTAATGTTACTCTGATCCGGTTACTTATGTTGTGGCAGATATTTAAGTAAGCTTTCTTAACGCTAATTTTATAATAGTCAGATTGCTCTGAAGATGGGAGGTGATATTCTATTAATTTTCACGTTCACACAGTCAGTTGATTTTTGCCGGCAGTTTTTCTGTATTTCCTCTATCCTGTAATATGACTTGATCGCTTTAAACTCCACACACGGAGCTCTGATTGGTCAGCAGGCGGTGCTTTCACTGAGTTGATCTCTTAGCCTGCAACCTAACGTGCTCCGGACCAGGCTAGCCGCTCAGCATAAGTTACCATGGAGATCTAGCCCGCTAAAAAGAGAACCAGCGTCGTAGGACCGGAAACCCCAAGTTTTCCCTGAAGTTAGCCCGCTAAGCGAAAATCCGGCTTCGTAATACAGGCCTCTGATGTCTTGGTAGTTACCACGCAACCACAACGTCCACAGTATAATTGTAGCTGGATAGTCATACCTCCCTGACTGCACACTGTAACTATGGATTATAGGTGAAAAATGACATCTTAAAAAGTTTCAGGTTTTGCAATGAGTCATCACAAACGTTAATAGAGCAAAGGCCAATCTAATGCCTTCAGTCACCAATAACACAAGTTCGTCAGATCTGCTAACATCCACTATGGGATATTTCAGAATGTTTTCATCTCACAAAATAACCGCCATTACAGTACGGGTGCCCGTAGCGACCAAATAGGTGTGTGTTGTTTTGCTAAAGCACAAATGTCATTAATTAAAAGTTATTTTGAATCAGAAGTACGACATGGTGCACACTGCGCAGAAAGTCCTTAAATGGCCTATGTCTGGCATCATTGAGCAAATACTATAGGTTATTTCTGGATGAATATTGCACCAATGGCAAAGTAATGGCATTTGTAAATGTCATGTAAATGTCTGTTAAATAATTTAGGGTATTGAATACATGTGTGTTGTAACATCAGTAACATCAATTTGTTTGATAACTATTTGAAATTATTTTCACCAGTTTATTTCCCCCATACTGTAGTCCAGAATCTGAGAAGTGTTAGCCTTGTGTTGCACTTCTGTGGTAACACAGTGGCTACACAGAGGAAAAAATCACTTAAAGCTCAGTGAAATAAGAAAAACCTTACCCTAATTTTGGAGAAAGAAACATGCTAAATTGTCTTGACAAAGAATGTGCTGCACAAATGCAGATGCACGGTATACAATAAGTACATGCACACACACCACAGCCCCAATTTTGCTGCAACAAAAAATAGACTGCTGGTGTCCCCTCCAAGGGAAAACCCATCACAATTGTGCTAATCCCTTCCCTAATCAACCCGATGTGAGTGGCAAACCCTGATAAGCCCCTTAACCAACCACTACACACACACACACACACATGCAAAACACACATCCAGTCTCAGTCCTGTGCTTCCACTCACCCATGGCAAAGAACGGGATCCCCAGCAGTGTGGAGTTGAACTTCCCGTCCGATATAAAGAAGATCCCTGCGGCCGTCACGTTGGCGATGCAGATGGTCAGAACTCCCAGCAGCCCCAGGAACGGCTTCCCCCTCAGGCAGTCCCGCATGGAGCTGGAGATGGTGGCGGCCAGGAGCACCAGCACCAGGCTGACCAGCACCTCCCCCTTTGCCAGAACACCCGTTTGGTGGAAGTCCCGCCACAGGCTGAAGGAGGTGAGGGACTGGATGTGGAGCTGGTCGGACGCGTGGGGCGCCTCGGCCGTGGAGAGCCGGTTGACAAGGGCGCAAAACTCGTTCTCCCAGCGTTCCGCGATGACATCCTGCACCACGGGTCCATGGTTGCGGAGGTAGTAGGTGATCTGGACGGCGCGTGCAAACTTGACCTGCTGGTCGCGGCTGTTTTGCGAGAAGGACACACCACCCAACTGGTGGCCGATGAAGGACACACGGCCATCCTGTAATTACAGATACCTGGCGTTAGCTTTGATGAAAGTTATTAGAAATACATTATTCAACTGTTTTTAAAGGGCCCATGTCATGCTTTTCCGGTTATTACCCGTCCCCTTGTGTGTTATGAAGGTTTTTATGCATGTAAACGGTGTGCGAGTCACAAACCCTCAAAGTACACCCTGTAGCGAGTAAAACTCTAACACAGAAAATACCTCCCCAAAACGCCTCGTTGGAGATACGTCACTGCCCATTTGATTCTTCCATTTCGTTCCGGGTATGGCATGATGTCAAGCGGTACCCGGAACGAAATGGACCAATCCGTGGAGCTGTTACGTTACGTCCGCGGAGCCGTTACGTTAAGCCCCCGCTGATTGGTCCAAATGGACCAATCCACGGACTTCCTCACACACACATCTGTGTGCAGGGAGCAGGCAGCTCAGCTGATTTCTCCTCCCTGGCTGCAGGCTGATAACAGACAGTTGGGATCGCGGCGAAATTCTCTCTGCAGACCCATTCTCACAGCGTTTATCAACCTTTTTCTTACTCAATATCAAGCCACACTTATTGTTTTTACTTTGTGTGTGCTCAGGATGAGTTTGGCTGTGTTTGGCTGTGTATCGCTAACAAGGAAACAACACCTCCACGGAGCTCAGCGCGATTCACAACGTTCCGACCAATCAGAGCACACTGTGCTCACAGGGAGGGTGGGGGCTGGAGCTATTGGAGCTACAACGAGCCGTTAAAGGCAGAGAGTGAAATTCAGTGAATACACGTAGTTTACAGAGATGCTGTATGAGAAACCAATGTGAGTTTGGAAAATTGCACAATATAAATCTGTTCTAGTAGACCTCAACAATGGAATTATGATCAGTGGAAATGGCCATGACATGGGCCCTTTAAGGCTCCCCACCAGTGGAAACCAGTTGTGTTGTACAGCAGACAGAAAAACAGCAGTGTTTGGGGAGCAGCCAGCTGTACTATAAACTGGAAAGTTCCAGCCCACACAGAGCAGTGCAGCAGCAGTCCTCTGACATATTTGCTTCAGTGTTTATTTACCATTTAACTTGAACTCACCTTACTGCTGTGGACAGAACTAGGTTGGAAAGTTGGTGTGCTGCTACGCTATTATTAATAGCTCCATTTAATCATATAGCACATGCAGGACATCACAGTGACAAGAGTTTGAAGATAATTTGATTTGAATTGTGCAAAGCAGAGAAGAGCTCAGTGAGGCAACTGGGGCCATAAAGTGAGTCTGTCAGTCCCTCAGTAAGAAATACAGATTTGAGTTAAATGGTCGCACACCATTTCTCAAATTTAAGCTGTAAAGGTGGCTAAGTATATGCATATGATGCCACTATTATGATAAACTGTGTTTATTTAGCTACTACACATAGGGCTGGGTATTATGTAGAACATAACTCATAGGGCTGTGCATCTTCACTGGTCTCCCGATTCAATTACGATTATCCTGTCACAGATTCGATTTGATATCCCGATGCATCACGATGTATCACGATGCATCACGATTCATACCAATGCGTTGCATCCTTCATTTTCTATATTACTGCACATGGCTTCTTTTTCATCAATGAATACATGCAGTAAATACATATGAACTCTCTTTTTATTATTTAGAAAGTGCTTCAGAAATCAATAACATACATGTTTTGACATTAATTTATAAACCAAAATAAATCAATTGTATAGCTCTAGCATCCCTATAAAGTATCTGTGTGTGAAATTGTTCCATCCTCAAAAACAAAAAACTAATACTAATAGTCTAGCTGCAGCTTCTAGCAACGGTCTTCTGTTAAAAAAAGGACACTGAATGTCCTGAATGTGGCATCACAAACATGACTTGAGTCTGAACACAGCAGACAACAGGAGTATCTACAACAGCATATACAAACAGAAATAGTGCATGTGGGTGCACACTTATTCTCTGTCTTACTGTTACATAAATCCCATGATTGTAGATTAAGTTAGCTTCATTATATCTCAATCAGTGATTGAGTGAATATCAGGTTACTATCAGCCTGTCACTCATTATTTTCAGGGGGGGGCGGGGTTTGGAGGAACAGAGGAGACGGTGATCGCGGAAGCTTTTTCCTCCTGCCTTCACAAACTTTACACATGTATATATCGTCTGAAAATAGCAAGAGGACATTCATACTCTGCAATCCAAGACTTAACTAAATCCACCAAAAACCTGACATAAATCCCTGTGTGTCTGCGCCGCAGCGACACGGAGTGATTCAGAGCGGGTCCTTCTGCTGTTGGTTCTGGACTGGTGTTCTTGTGTTGGTGGATAAAGCAGACTCCGTGTTTGGTGTCGCTGTGCCGCTGTCACGTCTGTGACCTCTGATCTCTGCGTCACCGACCGATTTGATATTAAAGTGACAGAAAAAAATAATAACAATTGACAGAATTGTTATAATATGCTGAATGGCTAATGCTGAAGATAATTCCAAGTTCTATGCAGTTTTGGGAGACATCTAATTATTGTATTGACCATTTTATATTGCCATGTACTCAAACGCACCCTAGGGCAAGCCAATTCTTGAACCACATATAGCTAACCCATCTGCAATTCCTGTGCCTTGTCTGTTCTGCCATTCTCCAGATCCCCCCCCCCCCCCCCCCTGCAGCATTTACACTGTCAGACCTCCTTCTGCATATCAGCTGTGTTCCTGCTGCTTGTCAGTGCCACTTTCACCTCGGACTTTATGATTTATTATAGAGAATAGGGGGTGTAAAACTGACATTGACCTTAGCTTGACATTGCCTGGCAGTATACAACCCAAACTACCCCATAACTTAAATCAATCCAGCATTCACAACTCCTGAATAAAACATGAAGCTTAATCTTGACAAACACACTAATGTTGGAATGTGTATGTACTTCAGAAATAGCACACCTCTGACTTTTTTATATAAATCTATTTTGACGGTCAGAGCTTTTGTCAACAGAAACCAAGAGCCACCAGAACTGCTTTTATGAAGTCCCTTATTATCCTAAAATGACATCTTAAGTATTTAATTATCTTTAGACATCAAATCGGTATCAAGGATAATTGGCTAAAACAATTACTGTAGCAACACAAAATCCAATCAAGACAAGTAACACTTCTTTTGTTCTGACAGCTGAACCGGCGGTGATGGTGCCACACCGGAGACATTTTCCCAGGGAAGCGATTAGAAGTCGGCCAGACTCTCTGAACATTGGATTGTTTTAACTTATCTTGAAAAACTGGCTTCTGGGGGCAAAAATCCTGCAAATTTGGCAGACATAGGCCATTACAGATGTGTTCCCAATGCATCTGTGCATTCCTAAGATGTACGTATATACACCATAGACGATGTGACGAAAATTGACACTGGAAAAGTAACAAACAAGAATGAGATTTATCCAGTTATATGAGTTGTTGTAAGTAATTAAAATTTGATCAGCGTATTTTCTTGGATAGCATTTAAAACACTTATATGTGGACTGAAATAATGTGAATGCAACAGCAATTTCACATCCACTGATTGGTAAACAGAATCTTAGGCAAGCAGCTTACATGAACAAAACAATCATACTGAACCATGTAGTGAAAAGGTTAGCGTGACAGAAAATGTCATGACCTTGTTTTTTATGTTTCCTGGTTATTTTGTAGAACACTCTCCTTGTGACTTGTCTGCTTTCAATTATTGTATTTGTGTTTCCGGCCTTTGTGATTATCTGCCCGCCCTGATTCTATCCACCTGTAATCACCTTTTGCCCATCTGTTTTTTCCTGCCGTCTTCAGCTGTGTCTTGTCAACATTATCAGTTCTGTCTGTATATACTGTATGGCTGTCCTTCCCAGTGTCCTCTGTCAGTTCCTCTTTTATGATCCCTGGTGTGGTTTGACATGTTTCCTGTGCGTGTTTGTTCCATGAGTAATTCCTAGTGTTCCCTAGTGGATTTGCCTCCTGAGTTGATTGTGCTATCCCAGTATAACCTTAGCTCCCTTAGCTTCATGTTTTTTATCTTTTGTTATACTGGCTATACTTTAAACAAAGCTCGCCTTTAGTTGTATATACCTGTGTGTTAGGATTCTGCGTTTTGGTCCTACTGTTTGCCATAAACCGTGACAGAACAGACCATATCAGAAGGGACCAGGATTGTTTAGGAGGTTAGGCACATTGAGTTCTAGGTCTGACACAGGGGAAAACTGCATTGTGCGTCTCAGTTATTGTATTATATTGGAATAACTCCCCATTTGATCTTTATTTAACAAATGAAACTTTGAAAATGTTGGCTAGGTGGGTTAGAAAAGATAACGCACTCTTTTCTTTGCAATCGAATCATTGGGTCAGAATTAAAACATTGAAACATTGTGTGGATATAGGATGTAATGCACCACAAAAAGATGGTTATTGTAATCACCTTCCAAAACAATCCATTATTGATTTATATTAAGCTGAGCTGGATGACATATGAAGGTTTTCTGATGAGCTACTTCCACTATTGCAGTATGCTAAGGTTCAGGAAACAAATGTAATTCATTAAGGCGAGACACGGCAGGCAAAAACATCGTTTTTCATGCACTGGTAAATTTTTTGATTTTGTGCTATTTTGATTCCATAACATGTTTTCTTTCAGGCTTTTGGAAGGAAACGTACAAAATACACATTTAGTTGTTTATTTTACTATAGTTTGTCTATTTGCGTCTGTAGATTTCTCCTAAATTCACCAAAAGTTAGCATTCTAATGTAACATATAGTACCGCGACCGCTGTTTGCACCATGTAATCAGAGGTATTGTTGGAAAGCTCCGTCTCTCCTGCACAATCTCATTGAATCCAAATATGGTCATTTCCTTTGTATCAGCAACCAATCGTGAAAGTACAAAGGGGTCTTAAACCAAAAAACGAAATCTCATTGGCTGGTGTCAATTTCTGACAACGTGATTCGTTCAGATGCGTCACCTGGTGTGCTAAAACACTTCCTGGTTTAGCTTTCGCTGGAAATTTAAA